AACTCCTGACCGCCTGCTTGCAAGGCAGGCGCTTATGCCGCTGAGCTAAATCTCCAGCCCTTTTTTGTTTTTTTGTACAGTACTTTTCATATTCCCTGGTTACAGCTTTTGTTTTTGAGGTGTCTCACTATGTTATCTTTAAAAAAAAAAAATGGTGCTAGAGATGTAGCTCTATGTGACGGCCCTGAGTTAAACCCCCAATCTTGAAGGAAAAATAAAAAGCACATAGTTAATGTTAATTCACACTTAATTCAACATTCTGCCAAGATATCTGCTAAGTTGCAGTAGACCAGTATTTCTTACTGTTCCTGCTGAGTAGAATTTTAATTTTGCAAGTTTGAGAAGCTTTGCACTTTTCATTCCCTCCCAGAAAGTACTGTTCTGTACAGTACATGTATTAAAGACAGAGAAATTCTAGAGTAAAATAAATTTGTGTAACTATTTAGCTGAAACTTTCACATTCTTGTTTGACAGTGCTGTAAACAATGATTTTTTTCTCTTCTCTTTTAGCTTAGTATTTATTTACTTCCATAAAACACATTGTAGATCATATTCGGTTTGACACATTACATCTATGTTTATATATTCTGTGAAAATTAATTAGCAGCGTCCAGCAGTTTTTGATATTCACTGGGCACATAAGAGTGTGTGTGTTATACTTTAGTTTTTAGGAGAGCTTTTAGTTTTACAAAAAGGTTGAGTAGAATTCCTGCATACCCTATTATCTCAGTTACTTTTCTCTCACTGCTGGGACAAAATATCTGACACCCAAAATTGAGGCAGAAAAGATTTATTTAGCTCACTGTTTGTGGAGGTTTCAGTCCATAACCAGCTGGCTCCAAGACACGGTGGCATGGCACTGGGGCAACATTTCAGGGCAGCAGTCAGCAAAAACAGCAGTAGCCAAAAAGGGGAAGAGCAAGCCTCTTTTCTTCTCTTATATGGTATGCAGTCCAAAATACCATTTCCCTGTAAAACCTCCCCGCTCCAGGGCAGATGTAGCGCTCAAAATCTCTGTGCCCTCCTCTTGTACAGGATGAGGATATTTACAAAGTAAGGATCCTGGATCCCTGCTGAGTCTCTTAGTTAAACTTCTAAACCTTCTCAGGTTGACACAGTGTATCAACCATAACACCTATTGTTAAATCCTGCATTAGTATAAACTTCGTTTGTTATAAGTAATGAACATATTCTCATATTGAGAATTATTGCATTGCATCTTGTCACTATTAGTGATTAGGCTTCATCATCTGGCCAGGACAGTACTTTCCAGATTTCTCCACGATGAAGTTGCCCTCTACCCCTCTCCTATTCAGTCCTGTGTCCTTTGGAACAAAGTTACTGTGTGCAGTTGCATATCTTGTCACCTTTAGGACTGTGTCTTCATAAATTAGAATTCTTCTGTACCTGGGATTTGTCTCTTCCCATTTGCTTTTTTATTCAATCATTTGTTTTAGTAATTTGGATGCTGTAGGTATATTTTCTTCAAACTACTGAACCACTGCGAACCACGTGTGAATGTCTCCATTACTGAGAGAGCAGAAGGGAAGAAGGTACCCAGAGGCAGGAGTCTCACAACCTTGGGAAAGGCGTTGGCCAATCAGTTAAATGGAATTGTGCCCCTAACGTGCTGACAGAACCACAAGCTTCTTTCAGAATGCCAGCAGGAAAGATGCCTCAGCTAAGAAGTTTGTTGTAGGGAGGAAAGAAGCTGGGACTGACTGCTAACACGTAGGCAGAGTGACAAGACACTCTTTGCTCTCCTAGACTCAAATGGAAATCAGAGAGGAAGACTCAATGGGAATAAAATGATTTCTGTGTCTTTTGAGGGGGTAGGTGTGACCTCTGGCTCTTGGACCTCTGATTGTTTTTTCTGTGATCTTTTCAGAGCCAGCCCTGTGCAGGGCTGTGATGGTTTTGTAGTTAAGCCTAACCTTCTGGTTTTGTTTTCCTTGCTTGGAGCTCGCATGTATGTGTGTGTGTGTGTGTGTGTGTGTGTGTGTGTGTAACCAAAACCTATTTTAAAAATAAGGGAAGTGAGCCCAGGACACAGAAGAGCAAGCCACCGAACCTCTCGGAGGCCAAGAAGACGTTTGTCAAACATTCCAAGAGGCGCGCCGACTCCCTGGCCTCCCTCTATGTCTGCAGCTCCTGGGTGAGGGAAGCTGCCAAACCACTCTCTCCAGAGCTGTCTTTCTCTGTGGCCTGGTGCACAAGGCAGAAGTTCACAAGTAAAGTCTTTACCTATTTTTACCTTTGATTCTTGTGTAGCAAATGATGCACTGGTTTAGAACTGAATCCAGGATGCCTCTTGGCCTTGAACTTCTTTCACTCTTAGTGCTTCATGGAAATGATGGGCATGTCTGCCGGAATGGGTCAGGGGATTCATCTGTGTGCGTTGTTGAGGCCCTTGGACCAGAGGGTTGGGTCCATGGTGAATGACCGCCAGCCCACCCCAGCTTCACCTTGAACTGCTTGCCTCACTGAGGACAGTGGTTGGACCACAAAGATCTTTGTATCTCAGATGCTGGGGAGCTTGCTTTTCTTGTTTTCTTTTATATCAGATGTTACCAGTCAAGAGTATGGTCTTATCCATTTCCAAACACAGAAGAGAAAAGCAGTTTTTAAAACAGGAATGCAAAATAAATGGGATCTAAATTTAAATTCTGACTTGGTTGGGCACGTCGAGGGGAGGATGGTTTAGCCTTAGTTTTGGTGCATTCTTGCCTCAGTGAAAATGTCTTCTGTTTGGTTTATTTCTTTCTGTGGGGACTGGCAAGGCCTGGCACTGATGAGGTCTTCTCAGATCTGACCACCGCCTGTGTGAGGCAGTTCGTGGCAGTCTGCCCATCATCCAGTTTGGCCTCCGATAACTGCTTTTAGATTCTGCAGGCATATTTTTCTTTTTCTTCTTTTCTTAACAGAATTCTCCCTACAGTGTTCTGGAATATTATCCCAAGGAGTGTTTTGTGCCTCACAAATGTAGATGTGTTGTCTGCTCATCCTTTCCTGGGGACCTTGTTCTACTACTGAGATTGATTTGGGCCTCCCAGGTCACCCCCATCGTCTCTCAGTGGCAAAAAAACAAAAACAAACAAACAAAAATAGCAGTAGCTTTATAGAAATGAAGTTCACAAGCTCCATTCTCACAGGGCTTAGAAACAGCTGGAAATTCAATAGCAAGACAGAGTGGAGCAGTGAGTTGAATCGTAGACACCTAATAAGGCCAGGCACTGATCAGTAAGACCTTGATCAACTTCCTCCTTGACAAGGTTTGAGTTTCCTCATCTCCACAGGAGCCACAAGGAGCAGACTCCAAACTGACAATCTTGACCATTTCTCAGCCTTACTTGGGTTTTTTTTTTTTTTTTTTTTTTGAGTAATCTGGGAGTTACCTTCTTTCATTACAACAAGAAAATATCAAGTTTGATACCTACAAGGCCATGCTTTTTTTAAAAACTTTTATTTTTATTTTCTTTTACATAAATATTAAGCACATGCAGAGCCAGGCGTGCTGGTACGTGCCTGCGGTTGCAGCTGCTCCTCACACAGGCAGGTGTCAGGTCTGAAAAGCCCTCGTCAGGTCTCAACCTTTGTCAGTCTCCACAGAAAGGAGTAATTAAGTAGGTGTTGTCTTCATTGAAGCAAGAATGCTTCAAAACTAAAACTGGAACATCAGTGAGGAGGTTGAGGCAGGAGGGTCCTAGATCAAGCCCAGCATGGGCGATTCAGTAAGACCTCAAAAAATAAAAAAAGGGCTGGGGATGTTGCACAGCACCAAGACCCTGGGTTCAATTCCCAGTCCTGGGGTTGGGGGTATATGTAGGACAACTTGAAATTAGTACAGAACAGGAAAAGGAAGATCTTGTCTCATTTGGGACACTTCCCTCTGCAGAGGTACCGTGGTTAGCTTTTCAGGTGGATCCTTCTAGAGACAGCTGGTGAATGTACAACGCACCTCTTCTTTTTGAATCACAAGCAGTAGCATGCTGCAGTTCTGATCCTTCAGGTTTTGCTCTTAGGTCACGGTTCCCTAGCAATACCTATCACAAATCCTTGTTCTTCAGAATTATTTTGTGGAATGTCTCAGTATATGCACCATAGTCTCCCATTGGTGGTTAAGATTATTTTTAGTCTTTTGCTATTAAAAAGACATTGTGGGGAGTAGCCTCCTATCCTGTGGTGAATATGTTCTGTTGATATGTGCTTTGCTTTGAAAACGAAGCCATTGTTAAATTCCACTGTTTCAGACTCTACAGTAAATAAACAGAGATGTTTTATGTAACTGGTCAAGTCTTAAATAAGTGGAAGACACTAGCAGCTCCCTTGTAAGTTTCTGTGAATATTTCTGGTAAGGGCTGATTTTCTGAAGACTGGAAAGGGAAGAGTTCTCCTGAGGACTTTGTATTTGTTTGTTTGATTTTTTTTTTTTTTTTTTGAGACGGGATCTCACTATGTAGTTCATACTGGCCTTGAACTCATTATGTAGCACACGCTGGCCTCAAACTTGAAATAGTCCTCTTGCCTCAGCCTCTCAAGTACTGGTTTTACCAGCGTGTATCACATCCAGCTATCCTCCCTCGAAATGTCCTGGTGCAACTCTTTCAAGAGTTGTGATAGCCTTTGTGGAATTTGGTTATTTTTTGCACTGTGTTCTGTGTAAGGTTTAAAGTGTCCTCTAGGGCTCTGGAGCTGTAAGTCGATGGTAGAGCACCTGTGTAGCCTATACAGGGCCCTGGGTTTGATCTCCAGCACATCAACAAAAAGGTATAACAAGATTCTAACAGAGCCCACAAGCCAAGACCAGATGAATCAGGAGGGGGACTGGTATCTGTGCTTCCATGATTCAAACAATTATTTGAACAGTAATAATTAACAAAGTACTTTGGAAGGAATCTCAGGCATCTATACTCCAAAGCACAAAGCATTCTGATGGTGTCTTTTTGACAAGCATTATAGAGTCTGGTCATTCATCTCTTGGGTGTTCTTGCCTCCTGCAGTGATCAATCACCAACACCAGCAGCAGATGGCACCCAGCACCCTGAGCCCACAGAACCACCCTGCCCAGAACCCATCGGCGGGGCTCATGGGTCTGCCCAATGCGCTCACCAGTCAGCAGCAGCAGCAGCAGAAACTGCGGCTCCAGAGGATCCAGATGGAGAGAGAGAGAATCAGAATGCGCCAAGAGGAGCTCATGCGGCAGGTACGGCTTCCTTGGCGTTGCAGGGAGGCTCTGTGCAGCCTGGGTAGCTGCTCGCCTCAAGGACAAACCTTCCTCCAGAAGCACTGTGACTAGAGGCCCACAACTGGAGTCTGCTTATTTCTACCTATTTTCTGTTTGCACTCTTCAGAGCCAAAGTCCTTAAGAGCTCAAGAACTTTGTTAGATGAGCATGGCTGCTTTTCACTTTTCCTGAGAGTGTTTAGAAAGACAGAAAGGAAAAAGTAGGGGGAAAGAACACGTGCCAGTTATCTACTACCCTGTAGTGAATTATCCCGAAACTCAGTGGCCAGAAACAGGCATTTCATGATGTCTTACATGTTGTGGCTCAATAATTTGGAAACAGTCCGAATTCTGCTCTCTGTGTCATTGACAGCGGTCACTTAGTGATGGTGAATGGGTGGATGGACAGGTATGGGGGGTCCAAGGTGGCATTTGTTGAGCATGTGGCACCATGGTGAGAACTGCCCAGAGACTGGGCTTAGCTTGGATGAAGGCCTGGATGTGTACACGTGGCATGGGTAGTGTGGCAGTCTCAGAGAAGTGGGACTTAACCACCAGCATCTTGGCTCTCCAAGAAAGAACACTGAAAGAGACATGAAGCTACCAATCTCTTAGGGCCTGGTCATGAATCCAACAGGGAGTTACTTTTTGCTATGTTTTCTTGATCAGAGCAGTCAGATTACAGCAGATAGCACAGGGGATGTTTCATGAAAGCAATGGCAAAGCAATCTGTAGCCATCTTTGGCTTATCACGGAGTATGAAATAAAAGAATATTAGGGGCTGGGAATTTAGCTCAGCGGCATAAGCACCTGCCTTGCAAGCAGGCGGTCATGAGTTCGATCCCCGATACTGATAAAAAAAAAAAAAAAGAATATTGAAGGGCGACTGAGGAAAATGTTTGTATATGAATGCTATTCTAGTGCCTGTGAAACTGCCTCCCATTCATTTGTCCGCTACTCGGCAGAATGTTGCTGTGTGTCCCGTTCTCACTCAGTGCTGTGCTATAAAGTGAGCAACAGAACCCATGGTTTTCTCCCTGTGTAGTGACTTGGCCTATAGACGAGCAGAATTCATTCGCCTGTGTTGCTGACTAATACAGTCCATATGTGTAAGTCTCATTTTCTGGCTGCATTTTGAGGAGAGAAGCTTCAGTTTATTTTCTGATTCTTTATATTCTTCTGATTCATGTGAAACAAGACAGTTGCATAGCTTCTGCAACTTTAAAGAAATGAGTCCGAAGGTCTTTCTGGGTGGCAGATTCTGAGTATGTTAGAATAAACAGTTTTTTTTCATTTATATCTGATACTTTAAAAATGTACAACGACTTCTATAAATAAGCAATATATTTACCATTAAATCAGTCCTAGAAATATTGTATCTGTGGAGTGTGACGTTTAAAGTACTGTACTTGGTGAATTAAAATCATTTCTCAGACATACTCTTTGAAAATAAGAGAAATGAATATAAACTGCTTTTTTGCTTAATTGAACTTTCCTCCAAATTCCCTCCAAACTGAGGAAGACAACTTTATAAGGTAACTACAGTTGTGCCTTTTACCCTGAGGATTTATATTTGAACTTGCATGGTTATTTCAGGGTAACAGTTGTTTGTACTGTTTTAGATATACAAGATCATATTTCTTGGCAGGAAATAGTTATATTATTGCTTTCTGACTTGGGGTAATAATTTTATTTAGAATAAAGTTGCTAATCTATAATGTGAATTGGACAGAATTATAGTACTATTTATAAATTCTCAAATTCTTAATTTTATATTTAAATGACCTTTAATGAAGTGTGTGTGTATGCGTGCGTGTGAAGAGACTTTTTGCCCCCTTGTATGTTTCTCTTTCCCTCACCCCACCCCCTTCTTTCCCACAGAAAGCATTTCTGACAAGGGGTGGGCAGAATGCCCTCCATTGCCTCCTCAGTCCAGCTGTAGGTGCCTTTGAACCACAAGATAATGTTGATAGTTTGTGTGACAGACATGCCAGCTGGGTTCCTTAATGCTGATCCCTGGAGGCTGAGGAACTTGGAGTAGTTTGCTACCTCATAGCATGAACCCTCACGCCCCCAGCCATGGCACAGAGGGACAACAGGCTGTGTGTGTGTGTGTGTGTGTGTGTGTGTGTGTGTGTGTGTGTGTGTGGTTAGGAGGAACTGGAAGGAGTGGTTCTAATGTCTTTTTAGTTTTGTTGTTGTGTATGGGAAGAAAAGTCTAAATAGACATTTGAATCTTGGAAGATCTCTTTTTTTCCCTATCAACAGCTTGCTCCCCAGTGTCAAAGATTCCCTTTAAGGCTGTATAATAAGTGAGGAGTGGGTATTCCATGATCATTTCTGGGGGTGTTTGTCAGGATACCTGCTGATCATGATTCAGGCGTAGATTTTTCTTTACTATTTGTGACTAAGCCAGGGCAGGAACAGGCAGTGGACTGTAAGTAACACTGTCTTGTTGCTTTCTAACATCAAGCAGGAGTTTTTAGGGATGGAAAAGGTATCAGGCCTGATGAGATTTTTTTTTTTTTTAGGCAGTGTTTTACTATGCAGTTCAGGCTGCCCTTGAACTCACTGTGTAACCCGGGCTGGCCTTGAGCTCACATCACAGCAGTCCTCCAGCCTCAGTCTCCTGAGTGCTGGGATTACAGGCATTTGTCACCGTGCCTGGCTGATGAGATTTGAAGTTTTCTGTAGGCTTCTACTGGTTCATTCTCACCCACACCATCCTTCACTCTGTGGCAGTTTATGATTTACTGGTTCTCCTCCTGCTTTTGGGAGATCCCCTGGTGTACATCTGTCTTCTTAGGATCGTTGTCCTGGAGGCAGGCCGAGAGCCACTGCAGTCACAGGAGAGTTTCAGGAAAGAGACCCCATGCCATGGCCCGTCTGTGTAGGATGAAGGAAGGATGGAAGCTCACATGTTTTCACGCCTTCCATCTGTTATTTTCTCATTCATTCATTTGTCCAACATTTTGTATGTAGTAGAAAGTAATAGAAAGATAGGTAGGAAATGGCTACCCTCATGTACTTTATATTTTAGGAAAGGAGGTAAAATATTAGGTCAAATCCAAATTGATAGCCAGGAGGGTAAATTAACAACATTCCCTTCTTCATGGGATCCCAGTGGCGGCCATCTTTGACTTTGGTCACTGCAGCTGAGAGACCAGGTGTACCAGATTCTGAAAAAGTGGCATAAGATGCTCCTTTATGTTCCAAGGATCCCCTTAGGGAAATACGTTGTTAAAAAAGCAACAGAATTAAGATCAAAGTGCCAGTGCAGTTTGGTGGGTTCGCTTATCAGGAATGGTAACTAGGAGAATTTCTTTGAAGGTGAGCTGTATGACTTAGCATTGGGTAAATCACAACATAGTTGAGCTATAATTCTTGTGTCACACAGTGTATATATTATTTCAGGACGTAGCAGGTGTCCAAATGGAGGGGACGGGCAGCACAAAGAATCCCAGCCAGGCCTGCAGCTCACTGCTTTATTACTTCTTGTTCAACAAGAACGGTCAAAGACCTAGCGAGAAAATATTTTTGGATGCCGTTCTCCATTGTCAGTGATAAGAGTTGGATTTTTACTGGGTTTCATAAAGGCTTTATGGGATCTTCAGGTTCATTCAAGAAATGGAAACCCTAGAAGAGAAAGCCTTTTTTTTGAGACAAAGTCTCACTAGGTAGTTCAGATTGGCTTTGAACCTCCCACCTCAACCTCCAGAGTCCTGGGATTATGGGTATGAGCCACTACGCCTGCTCAAGAAAGCAACTCTTGTTTAAGGTTTTGGTTGTGTGTGTGTGACTGTATGTGTGTGTCTGTGTGTCTTTTTGAGACAGGGTCTTGCTGTGCAGGTAAGGCTGGCCTTGAGCTTACTTTGTAGCCCAGGTTGGTCTCAAACTCACAACAATCCTCCTGCCTCAGCCTCCCAAGTGCTGGGATTACAGGCATGTGCCACCACACCCAGCATCAGGAAAGCAACTCTTAATTGAAAGTTTACTTTCTGTTATTTTGTTTTTTCAAGTCAAAGTCTTTTTAGTTTTTAAAAATATAATTTAAAGCCAGACATGGTGATGTGCACCTATAATCCTAGCACTCTTGGGCCTGAGGCAGAAGAGTTCCCCAGAATTGAAGGTCAGCCTGGACTATATTGTGAATTCAAGGCCAGTTTGAACTATACATTGGAAACCTTGTCTCAAAACAAAACAAAACAAAACAATGTAAGCAAAATATACACATATATTTGATTTATACAGAAGGAATAATTTATGCTAAGTGAAAGAAGGCAGACTGCAAAAGACTACATGTATCATCTTACTTAGGTGACATTCTGGAAAAGGCAGACCAGTGAGGACATGGCGGTGGGATTGACTCCCCAGCAGGGTCTCTGGGGGTTCCAGGAGTGATACAGCTTCATTCTTCATCTGGTGTGGTAGCCATTTCACAGTTCTGTGTATTTGTCAGAACTCAGAACTGTTCACCACAAAGTGTGACTTTTACTGCATGTGAATAGTAATAACATGACTGCACAAAAAGGCCAAACACAGGTTGTACCAAAATGTGAACATACTCAAAAAAGAAAAATATTATAGTCGTCTGTGCTATTACCTAGAGAGAATGGTTATAAAGATGCTGGTGATTACTTTCCATTCCTTTTGGCTGTTTCTCTGTGTGTCTTGTTTTGTAAAAGAAAATTACTAGCATGAGCATATTTTAATGTAGTTTGTTTACCTCTTCTTCCTCTCTTTTGTTTTTGTTTTTTGAGACAGAGTCTCACCGTGCATTTTGGACTGGTCTTGAACTCACTGTCTACTCCAGGCCGACCTCAAACGTACAGTGATCCTCTTGCCTCCGTCTCCCCAATACTCTTCTTTCTTTACCTGTGGGAAAATTATTCTGTATTAGTCATGCAAATTATGCCATGACTTTGTCAGTATCTAGAATCCTTTGTACCATAGTAGATAGGTGAGAATTTTTAAATACCA